CCTGCCGCTGTGCAGGCGGGTCTCCGTGCCCGCACCCTCACCCTCGCGCGGTCTCCACGCCGCGGCAGATGCAAATCTCCCTTCCTGGGGCCGAGCTCTGATGGTGAAAGAGCCGAAAGTCAGCGCCACGCGCCGCAGCCGGAGCTCGCTCCCCTTCGTGGCTGACTCCTTCCTGCTCAGAAACCACTTCCATCGCCCTCGAGTCTTGGCAAGGAGCAGCCCAGGGGACGGGTGATGGGCAGAGCTCCGTGTGCAGGGCAGGGAAGGGGGGCACCATGCAGTTCCCCGCTCCCAGGAGAGATTTTCTCCACACGCGGTGACTGCTGGGCCGTATCCAGGCCCTTGGCTCCGCATCCGATTTCGCCTGCGGCACAGAAGCGTTGTGCCCGCGGTGAGGAGCTGGCTGCGTTCCAGAGATGCCGAGCAAACCGCTCGTGTGCTGCGTGTTCCTGTGCAGCTCCCGTTAGGTTCCTGCTCCCAGGAAGGGTCGGGGGTTCTGCTGCCCACCCCTCCCATGCCCAGTGAACATGGTGGAAGTGCTGGTGCCACAAAAAGCTGCGTTTCTGTTTGGGAAGTCCTGGGCAGACATACGAGCCTCACGGCTGAGCCGGGCACACTCCCAGCCCATGGGACACCGGGCACCTCGCTGCGAGCGGGGAGGTGGTAACACAACACTGTGTAATGGACACTTCTGCTCTAGGGATGGATTCAATGAATTGTTTGATCAGCTGCATAAGTACAATGTCCCCCTCTTCATCTTCTCTGCTGGGGTCGGTGACATCCTTGAAGAGATTATCCGTCAGGCCAACGTCTTCTACTCAAACGTCAACGTGGTGTCCAACTACATGGACTTTGACGATAATGTGAGTTTCTGCACCGCGTACGTGCGGTGGGCTTGCAGAGGGCAGAGTTTTTCAACTGCAGTTGAGGGCTGCGGTAATTTAACAGACACCACGAGCTTAAAAGCTGCCTGTTGACATCTAAAGATCCCCATGGATGGAGCTGACCCTTTGCTGGGTCACGAGAGGGCTCTTGAGGCTGCTGGTGGCCTCCCACCCCAATGGCTCTGCCTTCAGGGACTGCAACCCGCTGCCACCATAGAGCCCTCTGGACGTCAGCGCTGGGGGTTGGTGGTTCCCTGCCCTCAGCGGGATGTGGGTCAGGAGCAAGGGAGCAGGGGCCAGCTGAGGTGGGCCGGCAGAGTGTGGGAGCAGCTGAGCATCCGCTCGTGGCCTCGGGGACTCCGCACCTTTCAACTCTGCTTTTTGGGGGCAGAAGAGCGCTGCCGTGCCGGTGCGCGGCGTGGTGTGCTCCGTCTGGGTGCAGGGGGAGGATGGAGTTAATTGACCAGAGGTCTCTCCTGATCTGAAGGCCAGATGTCCTTTAGAGCAGCTTGGAAGGCTTTTGTTGATGTGCTAAAGCCTGAAAAGTCCCAACGAACATCAGAAAATGCACGTCTCTTACAATGAAGCCCTCTGTTCCCACGGGTGGTGCGTTGGGACAGGCAGTCCTCGGCGGGACAGTGGGACAGTCCTGCCGGCCGCGAGGGCCCCGCGCTGCCCCGGGGCTCCCCTGATCGCGGCGCTCCCTGGCCCCAACCAGCTCCGGGGCAGCGCAGAGCCCCGAGCGGGCTCCGCAGGATCTCCGTCCTTCGGCTTTGCTCTCACCGCCTGGGGAGGGCTCTCCCTGCAAAGGGGCTCCTGGGGACTGTCTCCGGGTGTTCCGTGGCTGTGGGTTTCCAGACTCCCTGGGGGTGTCTCCGAGATGAGCGCTGGTGCCCTGTGAGCATCCCGGTCCAGAAAGGGTACCGAGGCTGCGGCACGGTGGGGGATTGCTGCGGGATCAGTTTGTCCCCTTTGCACAGGGCGTCCTCACGCGTTTCAAGGGGCCCCTCATCCACACCTACAACAAGAACAACAGCGTCCTGCAGGGTACGGAGTATTTCCAGCAGCTGAGCACTAGGACGAGCATCATCTTGCTGGGGGACTCCATGGGTGACCTGACGATGGCCGACGGCGTTCCCAGCGTGGAGAACATCCTCAAGATTGGCTTTCTCAACGACAAGGTGGGTGTGAGAAGCAGTCATCTTCCTTCCCTTCCTTCCCAAGTGGTTGGGGGGTGCGAGGGATCCGTACGAGCTCCCGTGGGGTGTGTGGAAGGAGCTGGGGGGTGTCTGCTGAGCTCCTGGTGCGCTGGGGACACTGTCAGGGTGGTTACTGACCCCCCTGCAGTAGCATCAGGAGATGTGAGGGCCGCAGGTGCAGCACCTTCGTTCTCAGCTGCTGGTGTTTACAGTCCTCTTCTCTCTCTGCCGTCGTCTCCTCTCCACC